AATGTTTTGCTAAGACAGAGAGTCTGTCTGGTCCAATCTTTTGTCACGCATCTGCACCAGAGGAGGCCGGTGTTCCAGACATGCTCATGTTCTGTCCTGACAGGATCCAGCCCCAGGTGTGACAGTCAGTTGAGAAGCTTACGTGGTCCCCCTTATCTTTTTGATCCTTTAACCTCACCTTGTCTGAATGGTTTAGCCTGAAGCAAGGGAATCAATAGGACTTGTAATTTTTATCTTAGCTAGCATCACTGCAGATGCCAGCCTTATAAACACTGCACAGAGGAAGAGAGCCACCTTTCAGACTTGGTGTTTTTCATTCATTCTTAAATTTTCCATTAACTCTTTTCATGTTGCGTATGTTAGGGAGTGACCAAACTTTGTTCAGCTTCGTATACTGCAGCCAGGAGAATGACAGGTATAGCTAGTTTGCCAAGACGGATTTAGATTGCAGCTGTCTTCCTCTTCAACAGAGTGGTGAAGACCTTAGACTCTGGATCCCAGGATGCAATCATGCATTAAAATATGGGCACTGTAGGGACCTGGGGTTGCTCCCTCCTATATAAGGTGAGAGCAGCCATTAGTCTGCCCTGTGCATGTGGGTGAGTCTCTAGGCTGCATTGAACCATCCTTGTCTTGTGTGTTGCATTCTGTATTGTGCCCTCTGGGCAAACTGTTCTGAGAAGTGAGAAATGCAAAAGTTGGTATTCCTAACTCAGCTTGAAAGAGGGCATGACTCTCCACAGCTTTGCCCCTTGGCATATCATTTATGCGTTAGCAGAGTGAAAAGTGAGTGGAAAACCGTATCATCCAGATGTGGGAGAGTTTTCCCTCCTACTTTGCCCAAGTATAAGTGATTATACAACAGGGACGGACAAAATATGGCCTGCAGCCTGAATCTGACCCGCCAGGCACTTTCATCTGGCCTGCAGTGCCCACCAACAGATAGTGCTCCACCCAGCCCTTCCACTCATGAGGGTGGGAGTGAGGCACCCATGCATACACATCCCCCGCAATGTACCCTATTGCGCCTTGCTCCCACCCTTGTGAGTGGAAAGGCCTAACCTGACTCTGCCATCACACAGCTTCCAGGCAGGGCTGCTGCTGCCCCTGCTGCAGCTGCCCCCATGGGAACCTGCTTGGCTTCCCTAGTATCCAGCTCACTCTGGGCAGCAGGTAGGGAAGCAGTGGGGGCGATGGAGCTGCAGCTGGGTGGAAGCACAGACAGCAGCGCAGAGCCTGCGCCCTGGGGGGCAGCAGGAGTGTGGAACTCGGCTAGGCAGGGTGTGGGTGCGAGGGAGGGTGGGGGTGTGGGGACCCCCCATACACTCCCCCACATGGCACACAGCCTCTGCTGCTGGCAGCAGCCGCAGGCAGGGGGCTCAAGGTGCTAGTGCCTGGGAGGGGTACGGCTCCGGCCAGCACTGCATGCAGGGGTGAGGAGCACAGCCTGCCCAGCCGCCTCTATCATGGGGACCGCATGCTGCGCATCTGCAGCTCCCACAGTGGGAGAAGCCCTGTACTGGAGCCAGCTGCCTTCCCTGCCCCATGCCGCACAGGTCCTTGGACTCCACCGGGAGTGGAGGGAGCCCTCCCCCTGCTTGCCCCCCTGAATCCAGTGCGGGGCTTCCCTGCTGCGAGTGCAGGAGCTGCTGGCACACTGCATGGAGCCCCCACGATAGAGGCAGCTGAGCAGGCTGTGCCCCTCACCCCTGTGTACAGTGCTGGCCGAAGTTGTGCCCTGCCTGGCACCAGCACCTGCACCAGGCACAAGTGTCCTGAGCTCCCCTGCCTGCTGCTGCTGCATGCCATGTGGGGAAGTGTGTGTGTGGATGGCGGTCCCCACACCCCCTCACCCCACAAACCTCACACACCCACACCCTGTCCCCACAACCCCCACCGACATACACACACACCAACATACCCTATGCCCCACCAATACACACAGCCACACCCCCTTACAACCCCCCACACCCCACCATACACACACAGCCCACCTTGCCCCCCCCCACACAGCACCCCCCACACACAATATACAAGAGTAAGACTTTATTTTTGAGTTATTATGCAATCACCTCTATATACAGTACGTATACACAAATCATGACAAAATATTTTTTGTAACAAAATTAAAACATGTTATAGTAGGTGTTTGACTTTTAGTGTATGATTTGGGTTTTTTTCTGGTTCTAAGATGGCACCCCCCCCTCCCAAAAGGAGTATTTTGGGGGATCGGGGGGGTGGGGGGAAATGCAAGGGGTGGGACTTCTGGTGGCAAAGGTCAGGGGTTAAGGGGTGGGACTTCCAGCCCCAATATAGTGACCAGGGACGAGGCATCTGTCAAGGGGCAGAGCTACCCATAAACTGGCTCAGTGGATGTATCCTGAGACCAGAATCAGGCCCAGGTCTTTGATTCGACAAGCCATGGTGACTTGCTCTGATTACTGTAGTTGGATAGTGCAGAGTGAGTGAGGCAGAGGTGCCTCTGTTTAAAAACCAGGGGTAATGTAATAGAATTAGAAATAAATTAATCCATTTTTCTTTACTTCTGACATTATCATAATCAGGCTGGCAGTTTCTTTTCCTGCCCACATCTCAGGAAAGAAGCCAGGACCTTATCTAGGGCTTGTAATTCAGCCTAATCAGAGGCAATTTTCACAGGTGCACCCAGAGACACTTCTCAGTCAGGGCTATTTCTCTGCCAAATTTCAAGCCTCTACAATGATCCACTTCAGTGCTACAGTCAATTGAAGAAGTCACTGGAATTGCTTCGTAATGAGGCAAGCATTCATTTCCCCCACCTTTTTTCAGTCTCAAACAGGGTTGAGCCATTTTTTTCTAGTTCCCTCTCCTAAAAATCACTTGGACAGAGATCAGGCTTGGGAGACTTCAGCCCCTGAGGTGAAAGGTCTGGAAGGGTAGGAGTGACTTGGAGAGAAGTTTGAATGGAGCACTTGAACTCTAGTTTTTGCTAATGCTCTGACACTGCAAGAAGGAGGCCCCTAAGCATCGCCTTGATGGCAGGGAAAGTGATGTCGGAGTGGCAGGGGGCAGTGTAGTGACAGAAGTTATCATTTACAGATGCTCCCTAACAGGAGACTGAGGAAGTTGGGAATTGCGTGATGGTCCCTCAGTTTGCTAGGAGTAGTTAATGAGAGAGCAAGACCAAGGGACTGCAGAGGCTTGCCTACTGCTCCACAAATAAAGTTTCTTGTTTAGTTGTTCATGTAAGGCTGTTTTTACTGAAGCCAGGCACAGTATCACATTACCCTGTGACAATGAAGAATAACACATCAGTACCTGTCCCTCTGGTAAAGCTCCAGGGCAGCGTGGATCTTCTGAGACAAATTCGTTCCCAAATCCTGACATGTACTGCAAAATAACAACGCAACAGGCACACATGTTAGGAGTTTCAAACAAGCAGCTCTGCCTTCTCTAGGATCTCTGGACCCACTTGGGTATTGCCACATGGTCTATTTTGGTTTGCTTTTTTTTCCATAAATGATCTTTGCAAGGCATGAACTGGGGCCTAGCTCCATTAAATTTCAATGATACTGGAAGGCATGGGCAAGGTTCCCATGCTGTCTAATCTACCTGTGCATTTTGAATGTACCCAGCCCCAGACGAAGAAAGTACTTCATAGGCAGGCAAGACAACAGTTTGCCCTAGTTCAGTACTAATGATAGAGGTCCTCCTATACAAGGAAATAAAAACTCTTTGCTAAGGATGGTTCCACCAGCTTTAAGACTGGGTCAGGGTTACTCTTTAAACAGGGATCTTACTCAGTGCTTTAAAATCTACATGCCTCCCCATGTTGTCCTGTAACCAACACTGGAGCATGGGGAATAGCCAGTGCTGCCAGTCTGGAGCAAAGAGTTTCTGAGACATCATGCTCCCTACTACACAAGGGCCTGGAAGTAAAAGTGTTGCTGCTTCTTTCACTAGACGCAGCCAGGGCTCAAACTGCTTTACTGATCTTCCCTAGCCTGATGCCACCCATGGGGGGTTGGACTCCACCCTCGCACCCAGGGGAGATTGCCACCCTGGGCAAATCTGGATTTAAAATGCTAGCAGGTGCTCAGCCCAAGTCTCTATGCTGATGCCCAACTGCAGAGCCATATTAGAGATAGTCATCTGCACACCCTCCTAGGCTGGCTCTGCCTGTAGCTGCTTACCACAAAGATGGGGGGTGGCAGAGCTGAGCACAATCCTCATCCCTGCTTCTGCACAGGCATACAGCTCCCCTCTATGGCAGGAGGAGCAGGGAGGAAGCCTGGGTTCCTCCCTTGTGGTACCTGAAATACCAGCTGCCCTCTTCTCCCAGACCTCCAAGAGGGCACAAAGGGCAAAACCAAGGAGCTGAAAGCACAGGGGGGGAGGAGGAGCAGAGGTTTTGGGGTACAGCTCCCAGAGCCTCAGTTGCTGGCTTCCTCTCTTCACCCTGTGACATGCTTGTGTGCAAACTAACAGTCCACTGGGCCAGCGTAGGTAAGACTCATCAGTGTCTGTAGCCCATGATATACAAGGGAGTGATGTGGGCAGCTTTACATCTGGCTGTCTTTAACTCCTTGGCTTAATCCACTAGATACCCATTTACAGTTGGGTAGGTAGGAGCAGCCTTTTGGCACCAAACCAGAGCAAGCTCCTCTGGAGCTGTAGTGAGATGTGGTAACTGCTCAGCTTAGAGTTAACTCTGAATTCCCAGCAGCTGGCATTGAGTTGATCTCTCTGTTAGAGATAGGCAGGAGGCACCACGCAGCAACCTGAACTGTGCATTAACACAGTTTTTGGCAATGATCAATGAACCCAGCTTCACGCAGAAGGTGGGAGTTAAATATTAACAACTCCATTTACAGGTTGCAGAGGTGAAGCAGAGAGAGGGTAGCTGGCTTGTCTTAGCTGCATGCAGCAAATCAGTGGCAAAGCCAAGATGAGAACCTGGGAACCTTGACAGTCATATTTTCTGCCTTAAACAGGCAGCAGTTAAATCTTCTCTGAAGAGGAGCTTCTAGTCACTGGAGTAGCTGCTCCAAGGTTTCAGTGCCAACCCCCCAACCTGACTATGTGCAAGGGAAAGGCAAATCCTGGTTTGCAGCAAAGGCAGCTGCCCTCCATCTCACACTATAGTCAAATCCCTATCTACACCAGTGTGGAAGCTATTCTGTAAGACTTTATGCCACTACAGCTACATCGATGCAGACCACTTGACAGCAGACCTCGCCTCAGGCAACTTGATGTTTGGTCAGGCAGCTCACGTTCAGGGCCAGAAGATCTAAAGCAGCATTTCTCACATTTCCCTCCCTGCAGGTGGGTGACATTTAAAACATCTGCCTTGTTAAGAGATGGGTGTGAGGATGCATATGCATATGTGCTTGTGCTCCACTTGTTCTACTCTGAAGGGTCTCAAGGGGAAGGGCTCTGAAAGGCCGGCACACATTGTACCCTAATTCAGCTAAGAAAGAACATCTGTAAGAAAATTTGCATAAGAGAAGGGGAAAAACATAGATCGCTTAGAGCCTGGACTATCTGGGACCAGAGCACATTTGTCAAGCTGTCACAGCTGCCTCAAGTTGCACTGCAGGGTGCAGAGATGTCAGTTCTTGGGATGTGATTGCATGGGTAGCACTACTAGATATGTTTAACACGCTGCTTGTTGTCTTGGCAGGTTGGGGATTGACCTCATGGAATGGTTCTCTTCTTCTAGGAGCTGCCATTGTCTCCCACTGTCAGGGAATGGAAAGGGACCCTGTAAAGAGCACAGGGATAGGGAGGGATACTGGAAAGGTTGGGGGCCCGGAGGCTGTGGCATGGGGTGATGGGGCAGGAATGGTTGTTTCCCTGGTCAGTGTGGAGTAAAGGGATCCTCTCCCTGTCTTGGCTCTTAAAGTGGATCTTTACAAGGTCCCTTGTAGTGGGACAGAGTTTCTCTTCCCCTGAGCACTCTGAAACCAGAAACCATATCTCAAAGGAGCACTGCAGTCACGTCCGGGGGGAGATTGTTTAAGACTCTGTGTTTTTGGGGATCTAGCTCTTCATTTGTGAACTCCTGGGTCTAGCCATGCCGATTTTGATCCCTCAGCAACAACAGTCCTTGCAGCACTCCACCTGGCCTCACAGGGTGGAGTCGCAGGCCCCAACTCCTGGAGTCAGGTGATAATGTCAGACTTCTCAATCTCTCAGCAACATGTGCCTGAGTCTATTGACAGACTGAACCAATAGTGGGGAGAGGCATGAATGGTCAGCCTTTCATCTCAGGTGGGCATTAACTCCCAGACCAACCATTCCCAGAAGATGGGGCTCATTACCCTAAGTGACCCTGTGGCACTTACCATGTGAGCCAGGAAAATACAGGGTGGCTTACACAGGATGTGGGGTTGTGAGCCCAGAGAGACTGGGAATGGCTACCTCAAATTGCACTGCTCTCAGGAGAGGGCTTGCCACCTCCAGCCCAACAGAAGATTGCCCACAATAGGAGAAGAAAAATGTAAGGGGCTTAGCTCACCCACACATGCAGATACATGCTGGCTGCTGGGGCAAGGATAGGGAGAAGGACTTCTCCTGCCACCCTTGCCTATCTGGTGGGTGGAAAGGGAACTCTTACTGCTCCCGAAGGGTAGGGTTTCCCAGTTGCTGGCCTTGTCCCTTGAGGGGGGATCCTGCCAAGGCCACTCCAAGTGGGGAAGCAGACTTGTGACATGGAGGCAGAACCTCAGGAGTCCCAACTGTAGGGTGAATTTAGAGTCTGGACCATCCTAATCTAACCCCACTGGCTCTAAAGATGAAACCAACTGGGACCCTCTGGTTTAGAGGAGGACATTTTCCTCTTTTTCCTCTCTTGCAAATGAAAAATCACTGGGACTCTGCTGTCTTTAAGTCTCTACAAGCAGTGGTGCAAAATGCATATTGATATGCAAAGCAGTAGGTTACCAAAAGCAGCCCTGGCAAATGTGCTGTATTGGAGCACGCACTCTTCCCCCCACCTCTTCCCTCCCCCAGCCGTTCAACGGAAATGCAGCAAGACGGGATGGGACTGCAGCAGTTCCAGAATGAGTGAAGTCTCACTCACTGCATTCACCTTTCCCAAAGATGCAAACACACTGAGAGTTTGCATCGTGGCAGGAGGCAGAGAGAGGCAGCAAGGGGCAGGCCTGAGCCTGGTGTAACGTCATCTGCACAAAGGGAAAATTTTAGTGCAAAGCACATGCTGCCTGAGAAAGAGGTGCTATGCAATCTCGTTGACTAGTAGATGCACCAACTTAATGTTCCAATTTAACACTGTGGGAGGGTGAGGCAGTTCTTGGCTCTTCAGAGACAGGACTGGTCTGTGGCCCGCTACTCTGTCTGAGGAGCCCCTCAGATTGAAAAAACCCCTCAGATGGGTGGAAAACCCACCAGCCTGTGGCTCAGTTCACTGCTGCATGAAATTTTGATTAGGAAAAACCTATCAATTCTGCCCACCACCCCCAAGCTCAAAAGCCTCAAACATGCACAGCTGACTCAACCTAGCGGCAGGATCAAAGATCGGCTGCATCCAAATTAGGGTGCCTGAAAGGTCTACCCCTGCTCATTCGCTGTGATGCAAATAAGCAAAAGCAGCTCATGATTGAATCTGCTCCACGTCCACGTTTTTGCTGCACTGCATCTAACACAGCCGAGGGGCGTGAAGATGACAGGAGAGCTCTGGGTGGCTGGCAGATTTCCAGCAGAGTGAGCCGCTGGCTGCTCCCCTCATACACTGTGCAGTCAGGGGGAGCTGCGGAGGCATTTGTCATGCCTTATCAACACAAAGAGCTTGGAGACTTGAGGGGGGGGCTGCAGGTTTCCGGGGAAGAGCTGCTTTTTGGGAGCACTCTCACAGCCCTGCCCTGCCTTCCCCACTTCAGTTGCATTGCTTTGGCAGGGGCAGGAGGCTGCTGCTGAGTCACTGTTTGTCAAATGAGGTTTCCAGCTCCCAGGACTGGGAGGAGGGGGTCACAGGTAACTGCTCTGAGAGCTGGAAAAAGACATCTGCTTCTCATTGGTGGTAGCCCGGGGGTGGGAAGACATGTCCTGCCATTTATTTATTATGGAGTTGTTTATTTGGCTCTCAGGCTTTTGTTGCTGTTGTTTTATTTTGCCTTTTTCATCCTATGTTCAAAAAGACTCCCCTCTCATTTTCTCCCTTCCAGCTCAGTCTAACACCCTGCTTTGCCTGAGGTGTTTTGCTGTGGCTAAACCGCAATGCATGTATAAACCAGGTTGGGAAATAAAGGCCTGAAAGGCGTTGGAGGGGGCCAGCACCAGCAGCTCCCCGGGGCACTCAGAGCTCAGGCACTGAGGCAGTGATGTAACTAGGGGTTGGACAGTGGGGACAAGCCCCTGGTGCCAACTTA